GGACATGGACATAAAGGTAATATAGGATATCCACACATGTGAATAAAATATCTTATGACACCACCAATAGGATATCAACAATACTAAAGTTTCACATGGGTCAAGCTCATAAGGTGGTGCCACATAAGATTTACGCATATGCCACAAAATCATGTGGATAATACTACTAAATCAAATTAATTCTCAAAATCCCATAACACATGTCAAATAAACCACGTGTGTGAACAAAACACCATGTGACAAAATAACTCACTTAAGTCATAACATTATAAAACATAATATTTTAAATAAACATAATATTACTAAACAACTAAAGATAACAATGCCCCCCACACATGAGCATGACATCAGCTCCCAAGGGGGTGTGGGGTGCCACATGGCATCCCTATGGCCACTTGGGACCCACGTGGCATCCCTATGGCTCGTCCTCGATCGTCATTTAAGCTAAACAATTTCAATAAAACAATTTTTGGTGTTTTAAAAATTTCAAAAAATTCTCCAAAAATCCTAAAAATTCTCCCAAGTGATTTTTCAACATTATTACACATTTTCTCATCAATATAAAATATTTTCTCGTTAATTTTAGATTAATTTGGGCCAAAAGTAAATAAAATCTTTTGACTTTTAACAGTAATTGGAGTCTTTCATTGGGTTGATGTTCCACCGGTGTCTCAAGTCGACCCAACGGACCTATGCTCCACAGTCTATGGTAGGGATACATAATTGGTCACATCAAAGTCACTGAGCCAGAGCTTCTCGTCACCGGGGGTTCAATGGATTACTGGTGCACCCCTATGGGACATGTTCTTACTCAAATACAGGGGGTCTTCTCAAAGCACATGTGCACTAGCTCTTCTAATCTGGAGATTGGCTTCCCTATATGACTGTAGATGCACATGCCATGAAACGGTCTCGTGTTCTATACAGAGCAAATACTCTTTTTAAATACTCGGGTTCTATTATTCTCGATTGAATTCTCCAAAGCTTGGCTTATCACATCAACCATGAGGCATTCTAATCAATATAGTCTTGACTGGGAGGTGACCCTCATACCTCCTCAAGAGTTCACACTCTCAAAAAGCATATTCTCAATACCTCAATTACTCGGGGTTTATGAATCTGGGCGCCTTAGTGTACTAAGCACCCAAATTCAGTCTCTCTCTAATTCCCACCGAGTGTAAGACTCTTAGCTTTAAGGCCTTGAAAGGCCACATAGGCAATAATTTTCACTTAAAAGAAAAGTCATTTATTTTGGGCGAAATACAGTCAATAAAAATCGAAGACCATTGATGGTTTCTAACTGTCATGTGCAGCCGAAAAGATGAATGCGCCTTTTACATTGAGATTAGGGCGTCCAGCTCGAGTTGTTTGGCTCTTTGACGCCTAAAATCCCATCAACTTTGAGGGGTATGGGCCCAATTATTTCTAATTATGCAAGGAGGAGAAGACATGAAGTACTTATTGTAATGCTCCAAGTCCTAAGTTATAGCTGGTTTAACTTACTTACAAAAGACATTAATTAGGATGATACTTTGTTAAGAATTTATTAACTCCAAACATATGCATTTGAATGTTGTTTCTGTGTTACTAAAACCTCGACCATACGTTGATCAGATTGTTATTAGGTGCAGCTATGAACAATGGGATTCAATGTTCTCCAATCCAGATTCCAGATAACTCAGATCAGATTTTATAAGTATTTTAAGCGAGGTTAGATGTTCATTGAATCATGGTTTCATGCACCTATGAACTGGAGTATTTGATTCTATGTAATCTACAAAAAAATCAGATCGAGATTTTATGAAAACTTGAATCGTGGTTTCTTACACCTTAAGAATCACGGTATTTGATGCATTTGAATTAAAAAAATTCAAAGTGAGATTCAATAAATGTGGAATTAAGATTCAACAAATGTGGAATTGAGATTCAATAAATGTTGCAATTGGTACGAAAAATATGGAACCGAGATTCCTAACTTCAAGGAGACAATTCCATGAAGATTCCTTGATGGAATTGCTGAATCGGGATTCCGAAGAGGAATCGCCACTTGGGGTGAGAGATCCCAGTAACTATTAGTTCTACGATCAGGATGAATAAAATTGGAATTAGAATCTTTCCAAATTTGGTCATGAGAGTGCCATAAGAAATAAATTAGCTAGCCTGCAATTGTTTAAATGACTTAAGTGACAATGCCCTAGGTCCTGAGCTTTATTGGCACTCTTAAGATCATCATGTGTTGGAGCAAGTAAACAAGTTGGAGTAGATTTAGCACATGGGGAGTCAACGGAGAAGAGCTGTCCAGTGTAGGGCCCTGTACAACTACCGTCCCTTCGAAGATCCTGAACCAAACAACCAGAGGAGTGATATCATTCGGAGAGTTTATGGACACAAATAACTTTCTGGAAGGAAAGGGGAGTGGATAGAGAAGTAAAAAATAGATAGATTTCCAATACTAAAGATTGGAAGACATTTTCAGCACTATACATTACCATTATAATGAGTGATGTGCTAAATTTTCTGCACTTCATTCATCATATGGGTAGTAGCACCAAAATCAATGACTTACGAGTTAGATGGAAACATTCCAGAGGAGGCCCCCTTAGCCTCCATTCCCTTGATAACTTGTTCTTTGATTTCTGTAGAAAGCAGCTAAGGATTACTTGAGCTGGTGGCATTGAAGACATATGACTTTGTAGCCCAGTGGTACCATCTTGCATGTAAGTAGTGTTTTCACCAACATTAGCGACCAAGTCGCAAGTTTTGGGATTCTTGGGAGTCCTCTTCTTACACATAGAGATAGCATGTCTAACTTCCTTAACAATAACGACATACAACATTTGAATACTGGGGACATTGGGATGATACATGAGAACATGAGTGTACTCTTTGCTGGTGTAGCACTATAATGAGATCTCGTGGTTTCACTTGCTAGAAGCCAAAAGGATTGCATCATTTTGTTTTTTTTATTTTTTTTTATTTTTTATTTTTTTTATTTTTTATTTTGAGGGGTTGGGGGGGGGGGGGGGGGGGGGTGGATTGGAATCTGGCAGTGTGTTTCTATAGAAGATGAAGATCTAAGTGAACAACTCGCCTTGATGTTTCATTAGGAATCTGGGTAGACAGGATCTGCCACTGAAAGAGTCCATAGTTACCGACGGCTCTATTAACTCCATATCATTCCACAAATTCAGTAGAGCTTCTTGTTTCAAGTTCATCAACTCTTACTCGATTTTGTACAAATGTGCATGATTAGTTTGCTGGTATATCCTCTTCAAGCAATCCTGCATCTCCTTGTGGAAAATGATTTTGTCCTTGTGGAAAATGATTTTGTCCAGTGTAATTTTGTCCTCAACTGATTGGAGATTCCAGGTTTAAATTTTGGCATTCTCAATTCCCCAATTTGAGGCACCTTTTTCATTGGCAGGTTTAGGTCTTGATCCATCAACCATTCCAAACAAATCTTTGCCCTCTGAAAAGTTACTTATGATGGATGACCCAAATTTGAGGCACCTTTTTCATTGGCAGGTTTACGTTTTGACCCATCAACCTTTTGAAACCAATCTTTGCCCTCTGAAAAGTTACTCATGAGGGATGACCCAAAGGAAATAGTTTCTCCCATTGAAATGCAAAACAGGTGATGTTTCCTTTCCATTAGTCATTATTAAGCACCACTGCAGTTCAATAACGCAGTAATCAAAGGGAACACAGTGTTAGAAAAGCATTGAAAACCAAGAAGTAACTGTTGTATTGCCCTGAAAACAATTTTTAGAGGCAGAAAACCAGGAATAACCAGGAAATAAGTGCTGGACTGCTGTCAAAATACTCACAGAGGCCAGATCTAGAAACCAGTCTCCCACCCAAACATTGACTGAAGGTTAATCTTAATTGAAATCTTCAAACAACCATAAGAAAAACGCTAGATTTTGTCGAAGAAGAAAAATACGAAGTTTTCTCACATAAATTAGCAGAGAAAGATACATCCCCATATTTTGTATCAAATCTGATAGAAAATCCCTTAACTCACATTACAGGGTGATAGGTTTACCTATTCAAGTGAAGGAATGTTGCAGTAGGGAGTTCGGGTACGGACTACGGAACTCCTAATTGATCACCAAAAGGCACTTGAAACTCAATGAACTCGCTCTGGTACCATCTTAGATCCTTAAGTGACACTCTTGATCTCTCAGATCTGCCCAAGCATACATCAAAATGGTGATCTCAAGAAGGTTTGTGAGGAGAAGAGTCCGTACTGCTAAAGAACTTGAAAGGTTGTCTGACCCTTGATCACATGGTTCTCATATTAATATAAAGGAAAAGACATGCAGGTACAGTATGACTCCTAGTGATCTAAAATGTTACAGAAATATCCCTTGACCGTATTTACATTTATTAAATTACCAAAAGACTAAGAAAAAACACAATGAAGGTAGAATAATGAAATACACTTTTCACGTCCCAAAATATGTCTCTTTCCAAAACATTTGATGAAATTGTTCCATGGCTAGTATTAAAGAATACTTTTACTGACGATTAGTGACCCATCCAAACTCACCCTAATTTGACTTTTAAGGAGAAATTATGTCTCTACTCACTCTTGCTATTGTTCTCAAGAAACGCTTTTTAGGCGTTTCTTGGGGGTTGTAATATTAGTTGTTGAAGGCCAGGGAGAATTGTTTGTGCTTTTTTTCTACTGCTTACTAGGTTCTGAAAGTTGTTTTTACTTTCATGTTTCAAGCATCTTTCTTTGCTTGTTCATTTGTAGGGAGTTTCTTGAAATTTGATTAATTTGTATCTGATGAGAAGGTACCAATGGTGATATGTAGTTCTTTTTTAGGATTCTGGATTATTATAGGTTGCCGTTCTGGTTTCATGTTTTCTTTTTTAAGTTTCTCACTACGTAACTCTGAAAAAAAAAAGTGATATTACAAGTGGCTTCACTGTTATTTAGATAATTAATTTCTGTGGATCTCATGCCATTGCTTCAAATGAATATTTTGCAGGTGGTACCTCCAAGGTATTAATGATTGTCAATGTTTGTCCAAATCTGTCGAATGTATCAGAAACATTGTCCTCTCTCAACTTCTCAGCAAGAGCCCGAAATGTTGAATTAAGTCTTGGAAATCGAGATACCATTAAGAAATGGAGAGATGTGGTATATTTTTCTTATTTCCCTGCATACTTATTCTCTGGGCCTACTTATCTTTGGTGGTCTCTGAATTGGTTTGAAATCTTAATTTGAAAATACTTTTCCCTACTTGAAGGCAAATGATTCGAGGAAAGAGTTATATGAAAAGGAGAGAGAAATATCAGATTTAAGGCAAGAAGTTATGGGACTAAAGCAGTCACTTAAAGAGGCCAATGATCAGTGCCTTCTACTCTTTAATGAAGTCCAGAAGGCTTGGAAGGTTTCCTTTACACTACAGGCTGATCTCAAGGTTTGTTTATCTTAGTTCAATCTGGATTTTAATTTTATTTTTAAGGTTGTTTATCCTGTCATTGTTTTTCTTCCTAACGGGGCAACTTTCTTTTTCTTGTGCACTATGTTGCAGTCAGAAAATTTAATGCTTTCAGATAAACAAAAAATTGAGAAAGAACAGAATGCTCAGTTAAGAAATCAAGTTGCTTATCTTTTGCAAGTGGAGCAAGACCAAAAAATACAGATACAGGAGAAGGATTCAATGATCCAGACTTTGCAGGTATTTGAAAAGTATTAGGGTGTCTGATTCTCATGGATTATTATGAATAAATTTACTTGATTTGGTTATGAATTTCAGAATATGTAACATGAAAGGCCTCTCAGACATGTTTTCAGAGTGTCTACCATGGAGACAGGATCAGACATGTTCAAACATGGCATGTGACACAGGGTTTTGAGTTTCAGGATCCTTTCTGTAGTTATCTGCATGACCCAACATTCTGACATAGCGATCTATGTAAGGCATGCATGTCTAAACCATAAGACATGGGTGTCTCAGTTTCAGGTTACCATCTCAGTGCTAAGCTCACATGTGTAAGCTGTAACACACCTGTGTCTTAGTCGTAAGACATACCTGCTTGAGATTTAAATGCATGTTTTCAAAATAATACAAGTTTATGTGCCAAGTTTTACTTCTTTTTATATTGTTAGCACTAAGTAATATTTCTTTTTAGTAATAGAGAATTGATAATAGATTTTTACATACCAGTATGTACATAGTTACGAGGAAAGTGAAACTGTTGAGGAGTGTCTCCCATGGACACATATCTCGATTTAAGATACATGTCCATATGTGTCTTACCTGTTAGGCAAACATGTCCTATGTTGGAACTTAGAAATAATTTTTTTTAGTGTTGGGTTGTACAGAAGTGTTGCATCTGGCACTCCTATTTTCTAAGGGCAATGTTTTGACACTTATTATGCATGTCATAAGTCAAAACTACATACCAATGTCAGTGTCCATATCACTTTTCCACAGGCTCTCGTCAAATCCATACCAAATCTACATCGGTTGTGCGCCTTCACTCAATCACCTAAGAATTTGGGGATGTTCAGCTCATGTTCTCATACCTTCTCATAATAGAACCAAACTCCAACCTAAGACCACCAAATGGTGTTCATTGGATATCCCCATCATGGGAAAGGTTATCGATTCTATGACTTATCCACCAGGGCAGTAATCGAAAGTTATGATGCCCATTTCCTTGAAGATGAATTTCTCGACGGAAAGGTCAATAAAAAACAAGCCAATGTTAATGAGTTGGAAAAGGAATAAGGACATAGACCGAAAACCTACACCTATTACTCAACCTAGGCAGAGTGAAAGAGTATGGAGGCAGCCCGGTTTTTATCTGCTTAAGAGAAAGTCATAAGATTATTAATGAGGACCTGGACAATGAAGCCATGTCATGTCCCAAGAATAAACAATGGCTTGAGGCCATGGAGGGTGAGTTGAATTCTATAACAAAGAGTACAGTATGGGAGGTAGTTCACCTACCACCTAACCGAAGGGCCATAGAGTGTAAGTGGGTATTTAAAAGGAAACTTAACTCTTGAGGGACAATTAGAACGATACAAGGCTAGGCTTGTAGCTAAGGCTTCACTCAAATACTTACCACTTGCCATGTTTGCTTCCATAAAAGTAATCATATCCATAGCCACCTACCTAAACCTGGAATTGCATCAAATGGATGTCAAGAAGACATTCTTAAATGGAGATTTGGAGGAGGAAATTTATATGAAACAACGCAACGGCTTTGAGATCAAAAGGAAAGATAACTTAGTGTATAAATTTAATAACTTAGAGGACCATTGTGTGTGTGTCAGGGTGAGCGGGAGTGACATAGTTTTTTGTGGAGGACATTCTAATGGCTAGTAACTCCCTAGATTAAGTGAGGAGAACAAAAGCCTTTCTTTTTGAGGACTTTTATATGAAAGATATGGGAGAAGCATCATTCTTATTGGGGCTAAATATCATAATGAATCGGTCGGCCAAGGCCATGAAGTTATCTCAAGCCACATATTGTAAAAAGATATTAGTAAGATTTGAGGTGATTGATTGCAAGCCTATAAACACCCCCATAGGAAAGATAGCAAAATTGAGCTTGAATATGTGTCCAAAGAATGGCGAAGAAAGAAGAGCTATGGAGAGGATACCTTATCGGAGTGTCGTAGAATTACTTATATAGTCCACAATGGGGACTAGACCCGACTTAGCATTTGCCCAAAACTTAGTTGGGAGGTACCAAGTAATCTAGGAATAGAATATTGGAAAGCCATAAAGAGACTGCTAAGGTATCTAAAATGCACAGTTAACTATGCTCTTACATATGGTGATGTGTCGAATTTGACCGTACTCGTAGATTTATGTGGTGATTTCCAAGGTGACCTGGATGAGTTAAAATCTACTTCATCTATTTGTCTCTGGTGGTGGTGCCATATCATGGTGTTTGATTTTTCAAACAGTAGTTGCCCTATCAACTATGGAATCCAAGTATGTGGCATATTGTCTGGCAGTTGAAGAAGCCGTGTGGATTAAGAATTATCTAAATCTATTCCATCATAAGCCTCTCAGATGTGGAACCGAGAGAATTATATGTGATAATCAAGTGGCTGTTAGCATGGCCAAAGAACCAAGGTTCCATAGCAAGTCTGAACACATTTGGGCTGATTTCTATCACATAAGAATAGATATTGAAGATGGTGAGATGGATTTGGCATCTCCCCATAGAGGTTATGCATGCTGATCCTATGGCTTTAGATGGATATGGAATCTTCCCTCAAAGGCTATGCATGCCAATCCTATGACAAAGGGGTTAGTGGCTGATGTTTTCTCAAGGCAAGTACATGGTATGTGTCTATGACTATGTGATTCCTAAAAGAATAATAAATTTTTTTTTTGTGAGTATTTGTGTATGCAAGGCCTCAAAAGGCCAAGTGGGAGAATGTTGGAGTTATGGCCTTTCAAGGACTTGACACCATTGTTTTCTTGTGGCTTTTCTTTTCAGTCGGAGTAGACAAGAACTAAGTGACTCACCGGATCTTAGCGAATTGGGATCCGGGAATGGTGTCTATAAAGTCACAAAACCCTGGATCACAAGGAAAGAGTAGTCAATGTCGACGAGTTTTCCTTGTGATCATGATAGAGCCACGGCCTGTTTTGACTACTTATGTGATTTAGGGGTATGACTGTGTTGTGGATCAGGGGATTACTATAGCTCAAGTATTACTATGATAATTACTAAGAATTACTACCCTGTGTGAGAAGGCTAGGCTTTGAAAGGACATAAGCCAAACCTTCACCATGAGTCATCTCACATATACATAATGCAGTCGCATATGGGAAGCCACTCTTTCCCTGTTGATCCAACAAAAAGCGTTATTAACATGTGCTTGAGAGGACCGCCACATCTGCACAAGTGCATGTACTTGGGGGTTCACCCACAATCCACTACAATTTCGGAACCTGGCAACTATTAGGTTGACTTTGAGGGGTCAAGTATGAGGCTCGAGTTGAGATTTTGGGTCATGGGTGCCGTTGGTTAATCCGAGAAAATGAAATGGTGTTCTGGGACTAGCCGAGTGCATTGCCTAACATATTCAAGTTTTATTTGTGTAAGTACCTAATTTCCCTTCAAATATTTTTATGTGAATCCAAATCAATTCAACATGGTGAAATTAGATTAAAAATGAATTTTGGTGATTTTTGAGAATTTTAAATTCTGGAGTAAAAAACAATCCTGAGATGTTTGTTTTAAGAAAATTTAGAATTAAGGACACAGCCATGGGTTTAACACGTGTGGGGCCTAAGTGGCCAATAGGCCCCACATGACTCACCCAAGTGGGACCAATGTGGAGCCCATGCATCCCACACTTGCTGATGTCATTATGACATCATTTCAACGAGTATGTGACCTTATGGGCTTATTTGATTGTGTTGTTATTTATAGATATGTGTTGTGTGATTTAAGTTATAAAATTTTATCTCATGGTGTGATTTGAACATGTGCACGTAGCCACATGTGTCGACCTTCTAGAAGGGTAGAGGGTTTGAAATTTTGATTGAAACCCTAAGGACAAGAAGAAATAAAAATATCCACTTACATGCTATGTATTACACTATCATTGAGGCATGTGCAAATTAGTTTCTAAGAGATAAAAATCTATGATCAAATATCTATCTTAGTAAGATAAATATTTTGAGGATAGGGAGAAATCGTTCCTACATAGTTACTTTTACATGATTATGCTAAACAACATAGGCAATTTGGACTTAATGAATTCTTAAATTTGAACTCAAATTCGAATGAAATTTGAAAATTCAAATCGAGGGAAATTTTGAAATGAAAAAGGAAATTTGGGAATAGTGGTGTTTAATCTCATCCCTAAATCTACTATAGCTAGACTAAATGAGTGACTAGGGTTAGACCCTCCCTCACTCCATAGATCCCTTTAATCAATAATCTTAATTCAATTTCAAAAGAGCCTTTTACACTCACTCTCTCCCAACCAAAGCCTGTAAATAGGACCTTACACCTACTCATCAAAGCCCAAAGGCCTTTACGCTAGTCTTAGAGTGAGAAAGAAGAGAGAACAAGGGAGCATGCCCTACTCAATGAGAGTAAAGATAAGTCTCGTAAGGTTTCATTAAACTTGGTTTCCATAATTAAGATCGAATTGGCCGGGATTCCTGTACTATCCATACTGAAAATCATAAAATCATGTGAGTACAAATAAGTCTCGTAGAGGTAATCTGGACACATTGAGCTTTGAAAATTGGCTTTCATTATCCAAGTCATTGTTGCATGCATTAGTATCTTTTAAACTTGGAGTTGAATTTTGAATGTAAATTGTTTAATTCTATTCATGAGTATTATGTATAGTGCTAAATTTTAGGAGAAAGTACATTGTCTTATATGTAATCAATCTCCAAGTATGTAATTGATGGGAAATGGATATGGGATAGATATGAGGTGTTTGGAAATGTGTTTTAATATTCCATAAAGTATTTATGAAAGTGTTTGAGTGGCTGTAATTGGTGAGAACTTGTATCCTTTGTACAATACTTATAAATTTACAATACTTACAATGGTACACTTCTTTTATATACATATCACAAAGTCAAATACTATTACAAACACTTTATGGACTGTACATATGCTGAAATACAAGTTTACAATATCTAATCGCAATATCATATATAATTCCACTTCATTACACACTTTGAAATTGACTATATACAATGTGCTTGTTCTTAGAATTCAATACTATATATAATACTCATGAATGCTATTAAGTATTTTATATTCAAAGTTATAATCAAATTCAATCTCCAAGTTTACAAGAAACAAATATCATGGAAGCCAATTTTGAAACTTAATGTGCTGGGATTAGCTTATACACGCTATATACCCATAATAATGGAACCTTACTATATGAGTTTCATTCAAGTTACTCAAGCAAAGGCTTAAAAGATTTGTGGGAGAGGAGAGTGCTTTGTGGGAGAAAATCATGTATGAATTTGAGGCCAAAATATAGCGAGATCCTTAAGCATATGGGAGGCAAAATTTTGGCATAGTTAGGATTTATAAATTAAAAAAAAAACATTTAAAGGGTCAAATATTATCAAATGCTCGCTGAATTCTTGCAAAAAATTCTCAAAAGAAATTATAGTAAGTTGGAAGCAAAATTGCAGAGAAGTACATCTAATTGATGGTTTATGAACTAGGATTTATGGTGATCAAATCTAACACAAAAATGGGCTAATGAAACTCAGTTGAATGGGGCAAATTATGGAAAATACCTCACTGATTTTATCATCAAAATCAGTTAAGAAGAAGCCATCAGAGAGTGGTGTCGAGGTCCCCTTAATGGTGGTTAGTGTGCTTGAGTGAGAGCTAGGTGATGATGACCTCCTCCACAAACATGGTGGCTTCTTTCTCTCTCTAATCTATCATGGAGTGCGGTGTGCCCCTTCAATATCTTCTTTCTCTCTCTTTCTCACTCCAGAGTGGCGTGACTTGTTTGTGGTATAGGTTATGAGTAGGAAACAAAAGAGTATAAGGTCCTATTTATAGAAAAGAGAATGTGCAAGATTCTTTCGAGATTGAATTAGGACCATTTGATTAAAGGGATTTATGGATTGCGGGAGGTCTTGATCCTAGCCAGTCATCTGTAATCTAGCTATCGTACATCTAGGAATGAGATTCATTATCGCCATTTTGAATTTTCATTTCCCAACTTTCTACCATATGAATTTTCAAATTTCATTTAAATTTTCAATTTTGAATTTTCAAATCCAAAATTTCATTAAGTCAAAATTTTGCATAGTGATTTGCTTAATTATGCTAGAGAAGAAGTGTAGGCGTGCCTCTAAGTATACCATAAATTTTCTCTCACCAACTATAGATATTTGATCAAAGATTTTTCTGTCTTAAAAACTAATTTGCATATGCCTCCAACGAGAGAGTGACACATGGCATGTAAGACGATATTTTCATTTCCTCTTGTTGTTAGGGTTTCGCTCAAATTTTCAAACCCTCCACCCGTTCTAGAAGGTCCTCATATGAGCTCATGTACACCTCATGTGCAACTTACACAATGTGACAATTCTCTAAAACTTAAAACACATAATACTCATATCCAAAATAAATCACACATAAGACTACACGCCCTAAGAGATGGTGTCATAATCACATCAACAACTGTGAGATGTTGGTCCACACAATTGGCCCACTTTGATGAGTTATGTTGGGCTCATTGGCCAGTTAGGCCCCACATGTGTCAAGTCCACAGTTGTGTCCTTACTTAAAATTTTCACAAAATAAATTTCTCAAGCTTTTTTTTTTTAGAACAATTCTATAAAATTCTAAAAATTTACCAAAATTCATTTATAAGATTATTTGATTATTTTGAATTAATTTGAATTCTCATAAAAATATTTGGAGAGAAATTAGGTGCATTAAGAAAATTAAACTTATACTTGAATAAGTTAGGCACTTCACTTAGCTAATCCTGGAGCTCAAAGTCATTATCTTGGATTAACCCAGTGGAATCCCATGACTACTGTCTCAAGTAGGGGCTCATACTTGGCCTATCAAAGTCAACCAAATAGATGGCCGGGTTTTGGAATTATAGTAAATTATAAGTGCACCCCCAAGGACATGTATTTTTGTGGATAAGGGGGGTCCTCTCTCAAGCACGTGCATAACTTTTTCTGGTGGATCAAAAGAGGCCTCCCATATGCGACTATATTATGCAAATGCTGTGAGATAGCCCATAGTCAAGGATTTGACTCATGTCTCAAAGCCAAGCCTCCTCACCTAGGGCTCATAGTAATCCTCATTAATTATCACAGTGATACTTGAACTATAGTAACTCTCTGATCCATAATACATGCATACACAATAATACACAAATTATGCCCTAGTTATGTTACGGTCGCGACATGTGCTTGCGGATCTAAGCCCAACCCTTGTGAATTAGATTACTAAGAGTTCAGTCACTAATGAAGAAACTTTCATGTCATGGTTTATGACCCTATATTAGAAAGCATTAATCCTAGGGACAATGCGTGAACTAAAATTTCAGGAGCACAATTCCGATTGCTATTTTTAGAGCAGAGTAGGGGATGATAAAATGATGATTTATGTGGGGAATTTCATTTTTACTTCTGTGGTTTTGAATCTAATTTCATGTAGAAAAAGTCCCAGTAGAGTGTCATTTAGAGTTCAGGAGTTATGGGGTGATCTTTAAGGTATGCCAGATTTGAATTCCAGTAACATTGCTCTCTGTCACGTCAATTATTATGGCCATGAATTAGTAAGGACTGATCGGGGAATTCTTGTTTCTTTTGAAAAATTGAGTCTAGTTCAGAAAATTCAAGTTTGAGAGAAAAATTCCTAGTATTTTGGGACTCATGGACATTTTATCAGAAGGTGTTTCTGCAGTAGAGAGTGGTTTTGTGACTCTTTTAGTTAACAATTAGTAACCCCTATTACCTGCATGTTTTTCATATTTTTGAAGTTATGGTCTTTTAATTAGAGGGTGCTCAATATGGGTGCTTGTGTACACTCCTTGTAAAAGGTGGTGAATACAAGTAGTAAGTTTTGGTGTCTTGATCCTTGACTCGAACACGAAAAGGTTCAGTATAGCCGAACAAGTAGCATATGTATGGACTATATGAGAATTTTTTATGGAGTCTATGGACATTGTGGGAACTTCATATATCCGGTATATTGAAAGATGAGTGTTAATGGCTAGTCCTTGAGGATAGTCACACTCCATCCTTTCCAAAATACCAAGATAATAGTTGTGCAAAATGAAGTCATGGATTGAATTTCTCAAATTGTGGCACAAGTGATTCTTAGGTCCTTGCACATCATGTATATGGATTATGATGATGAATAACACATGGTGTTTTTGGAAGAAATTTTATGTCGAGATAAAATATTTTTGGTAAATGTATGGATCTTCACCATTTTTGAAAAATTATCAACTCCCACAAAATAAGTAAGTTGAGAACACTACGCTCAAGACCATAGGCCACATGATGGCAACCATTAAACTTATCCACCGGAGCCCTATGGAAACTATAGTGAAAAAAGGAAAGGGATTTCTTTGGTCAATTAACGTATCACTTATGATTACTCTGCTTGTGTTTTGTCCATATGTAGCAGAGAGTGAATTTCATTCCTCCTTAGCTCCGATCTCTTTATGTATGGATACGGTCTGGTTTGTTTTATATTGCATGAGTCCTTATATTTTATCTGATTTCCATATCTTAGTAACTACTCATTATATAAATGGAGTAATGGTTGCCTGTATATTATTGAAATCTGATTTCTGTGAATCTTAGCTTGAGAGATAAGTTGATAGTTGTTTGTGGAATGCCCATCTGAAAGTTGTATTGTTTTGTTCAACATAGGCAAAGATTAAGAGTTTGGAATCACAGCTTGATGATACCCTCCATAGGTCAACTATGGGGGCAGAAAATGGGACACAAGTGGGCCGACCAGCTCCCATAGCATCAGAGGAGAGCATCGATACTTCAACAGTTACCAAGAAACTAGAAGAGGAACTCAAAAAACGTGATGAGCTCATTGAGGTTGTTATTGCATTTGGTTCCTCGTTGAAATCTCTTATCACCACTCTGGTTTTCATCTTTTGCTTTTGTGCTGTTTTCTACGGTATACAATTGGTTTGTTAATAACTTTCAGCTTATTTGCTCATTTTGCCAGTTTAGAAGTTCTTTCAACATTTTACTTGAGCTTTGAAGCGGTTTTGACACTTCTTTTCCTCTCTTCAAATAATCACTTATGTGATTTGTGCGTGCCAGAACACTCGAATCAGGAGAATGAAAAGCTATTTGCATTGTTTTAAAATGGGGCCGCATGTGCGACTGCATAATGCGCTATGCGCTTTGAAGCACATCACATACGGGTGCATATGTGCTTTGATGGGATGCTCCTATATCCCACCGCATAGCGCATATACACCGCATAGCTCATGGGCGAAAATAGTGCCCACGAGCATGTGTAACCCCCAAACACAAAACAGCCACATTCGTGGCTGTTTTTGGATCAAATGAAGAGAAAAAATTTTGTCGGAATTGTTTTTTGCAAAAAAGTGTCAATTTTCTTTCGGTATTGGTTGGGTTGTTGGGCGTTGTTTTGAAGAAGTTTGAGCCTAGATTCATCAACATATCGATGGTTTCAAGGGCTGAGTTTGCAATTGCGATTATAGTTTTTGGATGTTTATGAATTATGATAATATAATGTCTTCTATAAAGTTACTTCATGTCTCTAGTTTCTACTTTCTAATGTCTTCTAACGGGGAATTCAGAGTCTCCGAACAGTCGATAATATTGGAGTCAATGAATAAATTAAATACCTACTATTACATAAATCACCTCCATATTTTTTTCGTGCATTAAACTATTTTTGAGATTGTTTTTTGAATTTTTTATATTTATTAACTGCATCCGGGTGATGCGTCGGCATCCGGGTGATGTGTCGGCATCCAGACTGCATCTTCGCATCGGTCCCCCGACTGCAACGGGATCCCATCTTGCATTTTAAAACATTCTGGCTATTTGACGTACTGACCAAGAAATGCACTTCTCTTTTCATAAACCAATTGGCTTTGTTATTGCATAAACTATTTGAGTTTTGACTCCTTGTTTTTTTCAACATTTGACGTGAGCTTTAAAGCAGTTTGACATTTCTTTTCCTGTTTTCAAATAATTACTTAACGATTTGTGTGTGCCACAGCGCTTGCATCAAGAGAATGAAAAGCTATTTGATAGACTGACTGAGAAAGCTTCACTTGGCGGATCCCCCAAGGTTGTACCCTTCATGAGAGAACAGTTTATATTCCAACTCATGTAGAGTTAAAATGTTGGTTGTTCAAATGTTGGTCACTTGTTTGGAATACTTGATGAGTCATTTGTTGTGTTCCCATTCATTCAAAAAGTTAACCTTTATTTTATTGTTGTGGTTGTTTTTATTGTTTTGTCTTATAACGTCCCTATACTGTCTTATTATTGGATCAAAATATAGGCATGCATGCGTTCACTTCATGGACACATTGTATTTCAAAGCACGCTCTGGCATGGTTGGTACTCATGTGGACCTAATCATACCAGTCTACACACACAATTGCTATATTTGTTGTTCACGATTCTTGCATGGGAAAACCTCACTTTTTCCATAATAGTTCTGAGAACTTCAAAATTGCCGCGTTTGTTTGAAGTATTGAAGTCTACCACCGAAATTTCCCAGACCTTAAAATTTAAATAAATAACACATTTTGGCAATCTTAACATTTTAGTTCTAAAAACCCTTTTTAATCTCTCTTCCCAAACCAAAAAACCTATACCTCTCTCTGCCTAGGATGGCTGTCTCCCTTTCTAGCCAAAAGCCTTAATTCGTCATCTCTCTCTCTCTCTCTCTCTCTCTCTCTCTACCAATAGTTAAATTCTAAATTGAGCATCCGATATTCCATTAAACCGACCCAAGTTCTGCTATACAATTTCCCTCCTTACAATTCTTCTGTCCTCCAGTCATCCTTCTCCACATTCTTTCACCTTTGCAGCATCATAACTACTTCGCCACATTCCCAGAGGTTGTTTGTCCTTCAGCATTGTTGGGGAGAGAGACTAGAGAGATGTTAGGATTCTGGTTCCGGTAGAGGGAGAGGTTGTAAGTCGGGTATTTTGGAAAGTAAATCGGAGAAATATTTAAGAAAGTGGCATTTGTGAAGGGTTCAGAAAACTGAGGCGGCAGATTTAGAATACTACAAACAATTGCAGCAATTTTGAAGTTTTGAATAGCTGTGGTGGCAAAATTGGGGTTTGGCCTTTTTGTTTTCAATTGTTCTGTCATTTTATCTCTAATTGCTTGGGGTGAGTATGGATCGGCCCTTTCCTATTAGGGTGTTCTTCACTAAAGCTGTGTTGAGAATTGGGTAGGAACAAACATGCTGCAGAAGAGTTTATGCAGTCGCGTGTTGAGATATAGTGAAAGTACCGTTTAGTGGTCCATCCAGACTTGCCCATATATTTCATAAGGAGAGAGTTCTTCCTTATAGTAACACTCTAGATGCATTCCTCTGATGTCATCTTAATAATCTATTACTTGTTAAATTTTCCTTTGCTACTCAATAGATGTGTCTTATATACTACAGGCATTTCTTGTCATGCTTATTAAGCCGCTTCTTCTTTTTTTTTATTCTGAGAAATAAGCCTCCTTTTTTTCCCAAGAAATACTGTTATCAAGCCTTCTGTCAGGGTTAGTTCTGCTTCAGAAGCCAATATGGTGCCTCCGATGGAAAACTTTCAGCTCCTCTACCCACCCTTGGCGATGCTTCCAGAAACTAATTTCCTTATCATATGTTTCATGTATATTTTATAGTGGAAATACTCCTAGTTCAAATGAGGTTTGTTATCCTAGATTGCATGTACAGATTTCTCTGTAATGCTGACAAGTTTTAGTACCTCTCTCTCTCTCCCCCCCTCCTAGATTGCACATGAAATTTTCTCTGTAATGCCTGCAAGTTTTCATCTCTCTCTCTCTCTCACTATTTATGTCTCTATCTATTTCTTTATTAATCTAGTGATAAGACATATTGATGCTGAATGATATTGGACACTTGTAGGATAATTTTGTTATTTCCCATCTCTGAGGGCAGGGAATGTTTTAACATAAGTTCTAAGATCAATCTCACTATTTACTTGAATGGTTATGATGGTATTACTATATACTTTTAGACCATTTACCTTTTACAAAGTGGTCAATCACCTATAGCTGTAAAATGTGAAATTTGATATCCTAGGGTGGGGTGTGTCAAGTTCGAAATTTTTTCTTTTGGATTGAATTTGGTGAATGGAATACCCCTAGTTGCCTGATTTTATATATTGCAGCTAAGGTTGATTATGACCTCCTTGTGTCAAAGGTAAATGGTCTTTATACATTTCATTGCTATAATTCTCCTGCATAGAGATCCTTATTTATACAGAATGCGTATGATTGACTTATTCTTATGATATAAATTGCTTGAATGTGTAGCGGGTAATTGTTTAGAGCCCATTCTAAATCTATACAGATGTAACCTATAAGATTTTGAACCATGAGGAAAGTGAAAAATTTAGAGCAAAGAAGTCCTCCTTTGTTTTTGCTTTTACGGGAAGTCAGTTACTCTTTTCTCGTTGCTCTCCACGTCCCTCCCCTCCCCCCTCTCCCTAAAAAAAAACAAAAGAAAAAAAAAGAACACTCCTTCCTAGGCACGTCCATCAGTAGTACTGCTTGTCGCTTTTGAGCACACACCTTGCCTTCTTGCTCTAAGTGATTAGCAGCCCTGACTGAAGCGAAAGAGGTCTCTTTGGAATTGGCACCAAGTGGCGTATAAATTATTAGAGCTGGATCCAGATGACCTCTGCAGGCCAAAATCCAAAAGCTCCCAAGAAAACAATCCACGGGGATTTGCTTGACCACCAAATTTTGTGGAAGGCCTATATTCATCCCAATGTTTTTTTTCTTTAAGATAGAGAAAATGCTGTAATTGTAAGCCATAAGGAAAAAGTGGTGCTAGATCGAGGCCCTAGGGATTTGTTTGACCCCAAATTTTGTAGATGTTGTCATGATCACCAAATGAACAATTGAAAAAAAGAAGAAGCAAAACTGATTTTTAATTATATACATATAGAGACTCTTACATAGATTAAACTGGATATTTTTGTGGAATGACGATTTATTTTTGATACACTGACTTCCATGTGTTGCCAATCTGGATTCAGGTCTCAAGTCCATCTGCTAGAGGATTGGCTAACCTCCACATTGAAGACATGAGCAGGTATTCTCTATGAATTGTGATAATCTGCTAATGCAGTTATTATTGATATTCTGCTAATGCTATTATTATGTTACGCAATCTTTCAATCAAGACTAATCAAATGCAGTCTTTAGTGAGACCCTTATCTTTGTTCACATTTTGGCAGGAACACTAGTAGCAAAGGGCATTCTTCAGATGCCATGTTGGTCAGCTCAGGCTCTGATAAAACCAACAATGTTAGTGCTCTTGTCAAATCAGGTCCTGAGAAAGTTAAGACAACTCCGGCAGGAGAATACCTGACTTCTGCTTTAAATGATTTTGATCCTGACCAATATGACAGCCTTGCCACCATTGCTGATGGAGCAAACAAGCTCTTAATGCTGGTAAGTCATGATAATACCTATTTGAGCTTGGTCATGATAATGCCTATATGAGCATGCACCCTCTATATCTCTCTCTCTCTCTTTCGCAATCTCTCTCATATATATAAATGAATTAAAATGAATTAAAATGTAAAATAAATTCCACAATAACATAAAAAAAATAGTTTCTCACACATGAAGCGAGAAAGCCAAAGGGAAATGAAATACTTTTCATAGCGAAAGAGAGATGAAATACTTTTCATGAGCAAACAACAATGATTGGAATACTATTTGATTGAATTGACATAAATTTAGCGAAATGAGTAAATTATTTATGCGTTATACTAAATAACTCATAAAATTTTAATATATCAAATTAAGTAAGTAACATAGAAAGGATATTATTATGATTATTAATTTAATTATAGTAATATTTATTACCTATAAAAATAAATTTATATTATAGAATTATTCATATGCTATTAAAATAGATTGATATGAAAAACTCAGAACAATAGATTAATATTATTTAATTAATATTCTAGTAGTATAACATAATTGTTGTATCCATAACTAATCAAACTATATTTAATATTGTTATACCAAATGAATTATACTGTTCATGTACATATACTAATCACATATATAATGTTGACCAAAAGTATCTCCGTAAATAAAAAAATTAATGTAGAATATATTTTTATAATAATAATATTATTAATATATAGTTATATTTATAATAATACAATCTATAACTGTAATTATTTGTGTAATAAATATAATATTCAATAAAATATTACAATTATAGTCTTGTTATTTTTAATAATAATAATTATAGTTATTTTGTTATGAATGTTGTAATAAAATGATTAGTTATCACCATGTTAATTATTATTGATGGATATTGTTAATGGGTATAAAATACATAAAAAATTGAAAATTTTTATTTATTATCAATAAATTTATGCAATTATAATTTATTGATAAGACAACTTAATTATCATAATCTCCACTAATAAAATTTTAATTTTTAAAATAAATAGAAAATATTTTAAACTTTCAATAATTATGTAAGTGCCATTATGCTGTTGTAATTAATTATGGGTGCGAGAATGGCTTGGGGCTTTGGCGATAGTATTGTCGAGCTCCTTGGTGAGGTCTCTGACTTCATTCTCATCAAAGGGTAGGGGCCCAAATCTCCACTGACATACCACTTTTTACTTACCCAAAAAAAAAAAAAAATTATCGGTGCGGTTTGTATAGAACTGAGGCTCTAACAATCAAATTAGAGCCCACCTTCAAATAGTGTCGAGAAATGTGGTTTCAATATTGGAAATCTTTGACTGGCCTTAAAATATATTTTCATCTTTAATTATAAAATTTAAAGCTTCAAAAATAGTGTAGATCGAGCAGATCTATAAAAACTTGAATAACTTAAAAATTAAGGGTCCAAAAATGCGTTACAAGATGCACTATTTCCAAAACTTGAAAGCCTTTTTTTTCTCAATCTCATGCATCTTGATGTCAAAATGATCAATTTGAGAATATTTGGGCATCAAAACAATCTCTTCTAGTGAAATTTTTTAGGTAGGCTCTAATTTGATTGTTTAAAGCGTAGGCTATATATAAACTTTTCCCATTAATTATTATTATCAAATTAATATCCTTCAAATTGATTAATTAAAATGTATAATTGACATAATTGTATACAACACTATAGTTATGAAAATAAATACGACAATTAGAAAACACTATTATCATTATTCGAATTATGCAACCACCATTACTCAAGCCAAATGATATTCTTCTTTATTTCTGAATCACACAATAAATTAAATTTATAAATTTAATAAATAAAACGTAATTAGGTTGAATAGCAAACGATACAAATAAATATAGTACCAAACTACAATCAATACTATTATCATTATTCAAATTAGAAAATACTATTATCATTATTCAAATTACTCAACCACAATTACTCTAGCCAAATAATATTTTTCTTTATTTCTGATTTACACAATAAATTAAATTTATATATTTAATGAATAAAATATAATTCGGTTAAATGACAAACGACACAAATATATATAGTACCAAACTACAATCAATAAAAGAAACTATTTTGTTACCTAAACTTTCAAAAGGATATTCAAAATTTGATGGTGTCCAGAGAACTATAATTGACTGCTATGTTGGCTGTAAATCACAATTTGGCAAAAAAACATGTCAAAATTAGAATAAGACCAAATAAGATAGAAAATAGAGAGAGAGACTTTAGAAGGTAAATGGGTAGATGTGGTAAGAAACCTTTGAGACAAAAAAAAAGAGAGAGAGCATGGAGAGAGAGTGGGAGGGAAAGGAGAAGGGGGAGAGAGATTTATGGAGAGAAAGAACAAGATATTCAAGGAGACATTGTGAGAGATTTAAGGAGAGGGGAATGAGTGAGAGGGAAGAAATCATAGTTGATATTTAATTTAAAGAGAGAGAGAGAGTTGGGGAGAATTAAGGTGGTGGGAACCTTTGGCTTTGAAACTTGTAAAAGAGAGATACCGTTTGAACTATGTTTTAGAAAGAGAAAAAATGGGGAGTGGGAAATGTGTCATGAAAATAGTGTAGGTCTCCTTCTCTCTTAATATATATATATATATATAGGAAAAGCCTTTCCAACGCCTATAGGCGAAAATAAATAGTGATTTCGTCTATCCTCATCATCGTCCAAATTTCATCGCACGGTCACGATTGTTCGGTAGTGTTTTATTTTTCATTTTTTTTCTACAAATCATAATGACCTGAAATTTAGAGTATATATACATCTTACTGAGGTGCATCTAATAAAAATATAAAAAAAATTATCAACAAAAAATAAATTGACCAAAATACCTTTGACACTTTTCGGGGGTATTTTGGTCAATTGTTTTCATGTAAAATATTTTTTTTTATAATTTTCAAAGATTCCCCTATTTCTGATGAATACACGCGCTAAATTTCAGCTTATTCCAATTTGTAGAAAAAAAATGAAACACTACCGAACAATCGTGACCACGCGATGAACTTTGGACAGTGATGGGGGTAGACAAATCACTGTTCATTTTCGCCTATAGGCGTTGCATAGTATTTTCCATATATATATGTATATATGAAATAAAACACTTACAAATGTCTATAGGTGAGTTCTACAGTACATCGCCTATAGCCCATTATTGTCTAAATTTCATCATACGGTCATAGTTGTCTGATAGGATTTGAATTTTAATATTTGTTCTATAGATTAGATATATATGAAATTTAGGCATGGGTACACCTAACCAACACGCACCAAAATAAAATATTAAAAAAGTAACTATCAAAAATTAATATGACAAAAATACTCCTGAAATGTTCACAGGGGTTTCTTGGTCATTTTTATCATCCAAATTTTTTATATATATTTTATTCAGATGCGCTTCATTAATTTGCACACACCCACTAAATTCCAAGTTAATTTGATTTGAAAAAAAATCATTAAAATTCAAACAATATTGGACAACTGTGACTTTGTGTTGAATGGGCTATAGGTGAAGTACTGTAGAAATTCACCTGTAGGCATTTTTAAGTGATTTCCTATGTGAGATTATCTTTCTTTTTCCTGTTAGAACATGATGCAGCTGCATTTTTTCAGGTTTTGGCTGCCGTCATCAAAGCTGGTGCTGCACGGGAGCATGAGATACTGGCTGAAATTAGAGATGCTGTCTTCTCTTTTATTCGGAAAATGGAACCCAAGAGGGTTATGGATACTATGCTTGTTTCTCGTGTCAGAATTCTGTATGTACGATCTTTGCTTGCAAGATCACCTGAGCTGCAATCAATCAAGGTCGTTAAAATCCGGAGTTCCTACATTGAATTCTTAGAAAAATGAAATGTCTGTTTAACTCTCATGCCCATTGTTCTTTTTTTTATGAGCTTATTTTCATTATGGTGTATTTATGGTGTTTTTATTTTGTGCTCGTTTATTCTGTCTTCATTAGTCTATCTTGTGGCTGAGTATTTTGATCTTTTTCTATAGGTATTGCCAGTTGAGCGATTCTTAGAGAAGGCTAGTTCTGGCAGGAGCAGAAGCTCCAGTAGGGGTAGCAGTCCTGGCAGATCGCCTGTTCATTATGATTCAAGGACTGCTCTGGTTGAGGAGCACGTACAAGGCTTTAAAGTAAATATTAAGCATGAGAAAAAATCCAAGTTTTCGTCCATCGTTTTGAAGCTGAGAGGAATTGAGGAGGTAGTGTTGATTGCTAAGACTTATTCCAGCTAATACTGAGCCATGAGGCTTCTATCACCTTTTTTCTTTATTTGCTTTTTTTGGTTTACTATGCTTAAAGTGTCATATTCTTGGGACTGAAGTTCTGCAAGATCATTTATCATCCTAAAAAGATTGCAGTTTGCAGAATTCTGTTTGAATATGATCTTTACATTTTACTGATTTCTTGTGTCATTGGTAATTCCATCTATATTTACGTTATGACAATACTGGATTCTTAAATGGATAGGAGACATGGAGGCAACATGTAACTGGTGGCAAACTTAGAGAGATAACAGAGGAAGCCAAAGATTTTGCCGTTGGAAACAAGGCTCTTGCTGCTCTCTTTGTTCACACTCCAGCTGGAGAGCTTCAGCGCCAAATTCGAACTTGGCTTGCGGAGAACTTTGAGTTTCTTTCAGTTAGTGGGGGGGATAGTGGGGTGACAGGGCAACTAGAACTTCTTTCCACCGCTATCATGGATGGTTGGATGGCTGGTCTTGGAGCTGCACAACGACCTAGTACAGATGCTCTGGGTCAGCTCTTATCTGAATATACAAAGCGGGTTTACATGTCTCAGTTGCAACACCTGAAGGTACTATTACAAATGCTATATCCTTTTAGTTTCATTTTTTTATTTTCTTGGATCAGATTATATTTTACCCGGTCATCTGTATTCTAAGAATGTAGTATAAGTCAAGATTGTGCTATGAGTGCCTATGCCTGACCTAAAACATTAGTCTGGCTTCAACAAGCTATGGATTTGATTGGTTCTAATGTTGAAAAGTTTGTACCTTATTACCAAAAAAAGAAAAGCATGCTCCTTTATATCCAGTTTGAATTTAATCACTGCTTTAAAAAAAAAATCAGCCTGGCTGTATAATTATTATTTATGATTATTATTGTTTTTACGTTGGAACCAGCGACCTGACAATATAAGGCTTTCTTTGAAAGTTACCTGGTCCCAATTATCTACAATCTGGGAACAACTTGTTCTGAGAATCGAACATGTTTTTCTTTGATCAGGATATTGCAGGCACCTTGGCTACAGAGGAGGCAGAAGATTCGGCACAAGTGAGTAAGCTGCGATCTGCTCTGGAGTCCGTTGATCACAAGAGAAGGAAGGTAACCTGTTTGAAGAGTATTTCTGGTAACCTGTTTGAAGAGTATTTCTTTTTTCAAATTATATACCCCTTGAAGTTGTTCGAGACTGTTACAATATTACTGAGTGAAACTAATTGTAGGTAGTATTTGTCACATTGAGTTAAAAACTGCTGAAGTATGTTACAGATAACTGGAGAGGCTTCCTGAATGTATAGTTCCTGATTAATGGCAGCATTTTGTTTTAATTTCTGACTTGGGTTTGATGAGAGGGTATTGTTTGGCTGGACTGAAGTAGGCAGCTTCTCACTTGTCTTCTGATAAATTCAGATTTTGCAACAAATGAGAAGTGATGCAGCTTTACTTTTGAGAGAGCAAGGTGGTTCACCAATACGAAATCCATCTACCGCTGCAGAAGATGCTCGCTTGGCTTCTCTGATATCTCTTGATGGCATATTGAAACAAGTCAAGGTTTGTCCCTTTGTTTTACACAATAGTTAAAGAGCGAAACTAAGAAGACTTTGATGCCATGTTTGTTATTTCATTACTTTCACAGGAAATAATGGGTCAGATCTCTCAAACCCCAATAAGCAAAACCAAGAAGAAATTGCTGCTTGAGTCTTTAGATGAGCTCTCTGAGCGGATGCCTTCACTTCTAGACATTGATCATCCTTGTGCCCAGAGGCAGATAGCAGATGCTCGCCATGCTGTTGAGGTATGTGTGCTGTGAAGAATACCCGGATATTTCCATTCTAACAAAATGCATATGTTGTTTGAATTTTTTTTTTTTTCTGTAAGTTTTGTGAGTTAGGCTGTTTTGCCTCCCATCTGATTTTGTGTAGAAAAGTATCTTATCTCCATGTAAATATCTGCTGAGATTCACTGCACAACCTGGATCCTTTTCTATTTTTTAAGATGTCATGCCATAAATATCTGCTGAGATTCACTACACAACCTGGATCCTTTTCACATTATTTTCCTAACAAATGTCATCCATAGTTTAATGGCAATACAATCTTGTCGATTCTTCGCGTGTATCTGGCTTCAGTCTTTGCCAAAGCAGTTTAAAATCACTAGAACAGCAAATTACAGTGTCTCACCTGTTGGATATTGAATATCTATCATTGAGAAGTCTGTATTATTGTTGTTAATATATTTTATATAGCTCACGTTTAAATCTGGATCTGAAATTTACCCAAAGTTCGATTTTGAACCTTTTTCTTTTCATTTCATATTCTTTTTATTCGTATTTGTATAAGATGGCTGTCAGTACCCTTAACATCCTAACCACCTGGCCAAGATGCTGAAACCCCATCATCCAACTTCATCTCTAGAAAAATATTTTGTTTTCAGGGCAACTTCTTTCCGAATTCAATGCATTTGTCCTTTCTTTTTCCTTTTTGACGGGGGATTAGAGGAGGGGGAGGGGGGGTGGGGGGGAAGTTTGGTGGTTTGTATCTTTTTGACTTCTGAATCTCTAGAATCGTAAAACCATGGTTTCATGTTTTAATTATTTGCAATGAACTTTTGCAGTCGATTCTGGAGATAGATGACCGTGAACCAGCCGGAACCCTGCAATCACTATCGATTTCAGAGAGCGATGTGGTCCAATGGAATGTGTTGCAGTTCAACACAGGCTCAGCCACACCATTCATCATCAAGTGTGGGGCAAACCCTAATTCTGAATTAGTTGTCAAAGCTGATGCCAAAATCCAGGATCCCAAAGGAAATGAGATAATTAGGGTTGCCCCTAGGCCATCGGTGCTCAATGATATGAGCCTTGACGAGATCAAGCAATTGTTTAGCCAACTTCCTGAGGCTCTAAGCTCATTGGCTTTGGCTAGAACAGCTGATGGGACAAGAGCTAGGTATTCTCGCTTGTATAGGACACTGGCCATGAAAGTCCCTTCACTAAGGAACCTGGTTAGTGACCTCGAGAAAGGAGGAGCTTTGAAAGATATGAAATTGTAAATTCAGAAGTCTTTCACAATGGTGAGCACGGCCATCTTAATTTGTAAGTGCAGTATTCAATGTATACACAACTTAAAATTGTTTTCACATTGGTTTGGAAGGGTATTGCAAGGATTTTGTCACATTTTCTTTTGCAATGAATACACCTGATTTCTGTGCTACAACTAGTTTCCTGTGGATTTTATTTTGGGATTGTGCTAGGCGAAATGAAATGCAGTTTGTCAGTAGGAAGGACTTAGAATTCTATAAGAACACAATAAAATGAATGTCTGGGTTTTGGTCAGAGGTTTTTATGATTAATTTTTTTGTGAATTACTATGCAGTCGGAATTTCCATTATATTGATTTGTTAGTAAGGAGCCCTTTGGCTTTTTCATATGTATTGAAGCTTGAATATTTGTACAGTATTTAATGGATTAGTGAAAAGCTATGACTTTGAAGTATTTGGCTGTAGTAGTTCTTATCAGATTCGTATAGCCGACCCTTAATAAGTTGGAAAAAGGATCTAATGATGATGATAATAGTTTCTCACTAAGATTTTGTCATTTCATGTGCCCTTTTCATTATCGAAGGCATGTTTATTTTGTGAATTTTGGGTAGGTTGGTCGCTAAAAAACTGCCATGGTATCCTGTAAGCTTGGCTGATTTGTGACTTTCAGCACTCTTTGGGGTTAGTACGCAAGGTCGGATTGGAACCATTGACGTTACATTGCGGTTTTACCACTCTGACCACAGCCACAAGCCCCGAGCCCCGATCCCATAGTAGTGGTGTCCATGGCAGGGTTCAAACTTTACTCGTCACCAAGCTTAATCAGGGTCACAACCTACCTCCAAGTTTAGATGTTTGTGTTTCCGCATTGACTCTTTCCATGACTCTCTCATGCCAAGGGTAGAAATGGGCTTGGCTGAGCCTAAGCCTAGCTCGATAAATTAGTAGCCATGCTTGGACCCCGACCCGAGCCTGAGACTCTCTAGGCCTGGGTCCAAGCCTGAGACTCTCTAGGCTTGGGTCCAAGCCTAGCCCTTTGCTTGGATGTGCAGCTCACCTGCCCAGCCCAATCATGGCTGGCTGCACTTGTGCTCTAGTACATGCCCAACTTTCTTTAAAGAAAAAAAGGGATTATGAGGAAAATTATATATATATGAAAGAATAACAAAGTGAGTGCAACAAATGGAATTTCTCATTGACAATTTAAAGAAAAAGAAGGGTAAAATTTACTATACTTCGGCATATATATATATATATATATATAGGGATAGGGAAATGACTTTGTGAGACCTTCCCACACTCATGTGTATAAGACTCCAAAGGATCACCATTAAATTCGGTACAGATTTTTAGAAAAGTCAAGTCTCACACCCATGTGATAACTTTTTTAGATAGATGTGTGCCAAATTTAATTTGGGGCCTTACATGTATGGGTATAGGAGGGTCTCATATGATCATTACTCTTTTATATATATATATATATAGGAAAATGCTTCTGTGAGTCAATGGGCTCACAAGAAAAAATGAGCCTAATGGCCCAAAATGAATTTGGGCCGATCTAATGATCATGGGATGCTCAATAGCGTTTGAATTTTAATTTTTTTCTAGAAATCATAATCACTTAAAATTTTAGACGTATGTTGATAAAAAAAAGTTGAATATTCGAAAAATATTAAAAATAAAATTTTACATGAAACAAAATGACCAAAATATCCTCGTAAATTTTTGGGAGTATTTTGGTCATTTATAATTTACGGAGTTTTTTTTTATATTTTTATTAGGTGCGGCTTGATGAAAAGAATATTCACCTAAAATTTCAAGTGATTT